CTGGCTGCTTTTTCCCATTGCAGTTCCTTTGGAAGCAGTGATTTAGAGCAGTCAGTCTTAAGTCTGATTGCTAGTATAATCGCCTCATGACTTTTTTTTTTTTTCTTTCTGTCTTTTTGAGACAAGGTTTCACTATGCAGTTCAGGCTAGCCTTGAACTTGCAGTAGTCTTCCTGCCTCAGCCTCCCGAGTGCTGGGATTACAGGACCACACCTGGCTCAGGACTCATTTTTTGGAAAAAAGAATAAATACTATAAAACTGATATCCAGGCTACACCCACAGAATTTTTAGTTCATTTGTCTGAAGTGGAGACTAGTGCCTCTTCTTTTGAAGCTCCTGAGTGATTCTAGCACTGCTGTGGTTAAGAACCACTGGCCTCAAAATTAGAACATAGTGCTAGGCTCATAATTTTTTATCAGTCTTGCGTGGAACCTCAATATATAGAATAGAAAAGTAGGGGCTGGGGATTGAGCTCAGTGGCACAGCGCCTGCCTGGCAAGTGCAAGGTCGTGAGTTCAATTCCCAGTACCAGGGAAAAAAAAAAAAAAGAATAGAAAAGTAGCATTTGTTAGTATAACCTTACAAGTTTTGAGATTATAATATTGAAAAGTCAGTTCTAAATGATTTTTATATGTTAATTATTGGTACATTTTAGGTATACATAATGATCACATTCATCGTAGGGAATTTGTACCTGTACATGACACAACTTGATTCCTTTTTTTCCCATTCTCCACCTTCCCTTCAGCCCCACTTCCCCTCCTTATTTACAAATCTTTATTTCCATTTTTCCCTTTTTTAAAATCATTTTTTCTTCTCCTTTCTCCCCCTCCCTCATCCCCAGTTCTCCTTCCCATTTGAACATTCTCTTCCTGTTTCACAACACGTGATATATTTTGGTGATATATTTTGTGATATATTTTGGTCCTTATTTATATTTTTGGGCTCTCACACCAGAAAAAAAAAATGTTATTTACACATAATGTGTCCAGTTTATTTCACGTAAGAATGTGGTCTCAAGGTGCATCCATTTAGCTAGAAAGGTCTTGAGTTTATCCCTCTTTATGACAGAGTAGTACTCCATTGTATAAAAAAAACCCCTATATCATTTTTACCCCATTCACCAGTTGATGGGTGGGTGGGCTGTTTCCAAGATTTGGCTATTACAAACTGTGCCACTATAAATATGCATATGTATATATCACTGTGGTATGAGGCTTTTAATTCTTTTGGAAAGATACCAAGAAGAGAAATAGCTGGGTTGAATAGAACCTCTTGTCCTCATTTTTTGAGGAATCTCCCCCACTGATTTCTACAGTGTTTTCAGCAGGCTACATTTCCACTAAGAGTGGGAAAGGGTTCCTTTTTCCCCACAGCCCCAACAGCATTTGTTATTGTTTGATTACTTGATAACAGCCACTTTTTGGGGTGAGATGGGATTTCAGTGTTTTAATTTGCATTTCTTGAATGACCAATGATGTTTTTCATATATTTACTAGCTGTTTCTACTTCTTCATCTGAGAAGTGTCTGTTCATTTCAGATGCCCATTTTTGGATTGGGTCTTTAAATTGGGGGGGGCTTTATTTATTTATTTTTGAGTTCTTTATATATTCTAGGTAGCAGTCCTTTGAAGAACAGCTGGCAAAAATTTTTTCCCACACTGGGTTGACTGTTCACTCTGTTGGTGGTTTCTTTTGCTGTGTAAAGCTTTTTAATAAGACGAGATCCTAGTTGATTATTTGTTACATTCCTGTGTGATTGGGGTTTCATAGGGGTTCATAAAGTCTTTGCCTGCACCATTGTCTTCAAGAGTTCTACCTATTCTATCTTCCAGCAGACTTAGTGTTTCTGTTTTAACTTCGTTTGTTTGTTTGGTTTTTTTTTTGGTACCAGGAGTCAAACTCAGAAACTTGCGCTTGCCAGGCAGGCGCTTATGCCACTGAGCTATATCCCTGGTCCCAGTGTTTCTGTTTTAATAGTTTGATCTTTGACCCATTTGGATTTTAGTTTAGTGCATGATGAATGATAGGAGTCTAGTTTTAATCTTCGGCATGTGCAAAGCCAGTTTTGCCAGCACCATTTATTAAAGAGGCTGTCTTTCTTCCAGTGAAGGTGTTTGGCACCTCTGTCAAAGATAAGGTGACTAAGTATGTCTGGAATTGTTTCTTCATCTTCTAATCTGAGCCACTGATCTTCAGCTCTGTTTTTTTGCCAGTGCGATGCTGATTTTATCACAGTAGCTTTGTAGTATAATTTCAAGTCAGAGATTGTGATGCCCTGTGCCCTGCCTATGTTGCTCAGAATTGCCTTTGCTATTCTAGGTCTCTTCTGGTTCCAAATGAATTTCAGGATTATTTTCTCTAATTCTGTGAGATATGCTGTCGGGATTTTGATCAGGGTTGCACTAAATCTGTATAGCAATTTTGGGAGTATGGTCATTTTCACTGTGTTGGTTCTTCCTACCCAAGAACAAGGGATATCTTTCCATTTTCTCTCTCTCTCTCTCTTTTTTTTTTTTCTTGGTACCAGGAATCAAATTCTCCAGACCTTGGGCTTAACAGGCAGACCCTGTGCCACTGAACTATATCCCCGGCTCTTTCCATTTTCTGATACCCTCTTCTGTCTCCTTTTTCAGAGTACTGTTGTTTTCAATGTAGAGGTCTTCTGCTTCCTTCGTTAGATTGATTCCTAGGTATTTCATTTTTTTGATGCTATTGTGAAAGGTGTTGTTTCCCTACCCTCTCAGTGAGTTTGTTATTTGTGTGCAGGAAGGCTATTGATTTTTGAGTGTTGACTTTGCATCCAGCTACACTACTGAATGAGAATGATGCATGTAAATTTTCAAAACATAAAATTATAATATTATTTTCATCTATTAAGATAAAAAGGCTGGTTAAGATGCATTCACATTTTCAGATGGTTAACTGCAGTGGGAAAGAAAATGAGAAGGACTTCATTGTTTTTCTTTGTCTTGCTAAGTTGCCCAGGTGGGGCTTGAACTTGTGATCCTTCTGCATCAGCCTCCTAAGAGTGCTCACCACATACCTGACCTGGCTCATAAAAGTTTTAACTACTTTTTAAGTGTAGTGGCATTAACTAGATTCTTATTGTTGTGCAGCTTTCACCAGTATCCATTTTCAGAGTTCGTCATCCTCTCAAATACAAATTCTGTGCTCCTTGAACAGCCAGTGTCTCTTCCTCTTACTTCCAGTCCCTGGTAATCTCTGTTTGTCTCCACATATGGTTTACTTGGTGTAGGAACCTCACACGTAAGTGGGTATTTGTTCTTTTGTGTCTGGTTTATTAGTTCACTTATAATATCTTTAAGGTTCATCCATTCTATAGCGTGTCTCAGAATTTCATTCCTTTTTAAGAGTTAATTGTACATTTTATCTGTTCATTCATTGATGGACATTTGGATTGTTTACCTTTTGTCTGCTGTGAACAATCCTGGGATGAACAGTGTAGGTGCAAATTTCCTGTTTGAGTCTCTGCTTTCCATTCTTCTAGGTGCGGAATAGATGGACCGTCTTGAGATTCTTTAATTCTTGCTGAAAGTGCTTTCTGTAGCAGCTGTACTGTTTGGCATTTCCCCTGGCAGGCAGTGCATAAGGCTGGCAATGTCTTCCCGTCCTCATCAACACGTTGTTTTCTGTTCTCTTGATAACAGCCCTCCTTATGGGCATGAAGTGGTATCTAATTGTGGTTTTAGTACAGATTTTTCTAATGCCTAATGATGTTGAGCATCTTTTCATGTACTTGTTGGCCATTTGCATATCTTTGGAGAAATTCCCACTTTTTGGAGTTTTTATTGTTGAGTTGTAGTTCCTTGTGTATTTTGGATATCAATCCCTTCTCAGAAGTGTGATTTGCACATCTTTTTTGTTTTGTCTTTGCTCTTTATTTTATTTTTTATTTTTCTTTTTTGGGTCTTTTTGAGATAGGGTCTCGCTATGCAGTTCAGGCTGGCCTTGAGCTCACTTTGTAGCCCAGGCTGGCCTGGAACTCGCAGTGATCCTCCTGCCTCAGCCTCCCAAGTGCTGGGATTACAGGTGTGCGCCTCCACGCCTGGCTCTATTTTCCATTTAATTAACAGCTTTCTCATACTTGTCCAGTGGATGGGATGTACCTGATGAACTTCAGGAAATGTACACGTGTAACATCTTGGCCAGTCCTGTCCTTTGCCTAGTTACCAATTTCAGATGCGGCTTCCTATCACATAGTTCCAACCTTGGAAATAGGATTTTATAAATTTCCTGACAACTGAACAGCAACAGTGTGGAAAAAGAGCTCTCACGCCATGTCTGGAGACTGCTGCTGCTGTGGGCCTCACCTGCTTTTCTCATGCCCTCGCTGCAGCACAGCACAGTACAGCCTGTCACCAGCACGCGGAGAGGAGGGCCCGCTCCTCTCTCAGCCCATCCCAGACAGGAGAACTAGAAATGAACCCTGTTACAAAGGTAGACTCTCCGCCCTTGTTGAGGGGAATTTATTAGTTTGCATTTTGGATTTTTGCCAACTGTGCGAAGTATGAGATGCGTGGAAGTTTTGTAATTTCTGTTTCACTGCATTCTTTTCAAAAGTGGTTTCCAGAGACTGACAACAAAATAAGAAACTTGTGTACTTAAGATGAAGACCTGTTTCTGAACTTGCCCTGTCCCGCACAGATCTGTCTGTATTTGGCTTTTTTCAAACTGTAGCTTAACAATTCGAGAAGCTGGGCTGTTTATACCCAAAGGACTGTTCTGTGCAGTTGTTTATGGTGAGTTTATGAAACATAGTCTGTCCCACAGTTGACAGGACACTTTTAACCTTTAAAATTCAGTGATGCATGGTTGTAGTAACATTGCCCATACAGTTAGAGCTAATGTGGCCTTGGTCATTAGTTTCTTGTTAAATATGTAGAGCCAAGATTCAGTGCTTTTAAGGGTTGTTATAATAACTAAACTGTTGATGGTTTTACTAAAAATTAACTACTAGACAATTATTCTTCTTTTAGATGAATGGAAGAGAATCAGAAGAAGAAAATCTTAATAAATCTGAAATAAGTCAAGTTTTTGAGATTGCACTTAAGCGGAACTTGCCTGTGAATTTCGAGGTAAGCTTATTTTACATGTAGGATTTGGTACTTTAAAATCCTGTTAGGATTCATCATAGGAATGATTTCTCCCCTTTAAATAGCAGCTGAAATAATATGAACCTTTAAATTTAAGATTCAGCCTTTATGTTTAGCAAAGCAGTACAGTATGTATTGTCTTTCCCACAAGCCCTTACCTTAGGGGTATGAATGACTCCTGGCTGCATCAAGTGTGGCCTCAGTTGGTCTCTGACTTTCCAGAAGTGGTCTGTGGAATGTTGTTCACACACGTCTTCTTCCTGACAGAGAGCTTGTTTCTTTCATCTTTACCTCTACAGTACTAAGGCTCTCTTAGTGGTCTCAAAAATCTTGTCAGATAATTTTAAAGAGGACATAAGCTTTGTCATTATGCTTCATTTGCTGTTGGGAATTTTGTGAAATAACAGTTAATGGGTTATTTGTTCAAAGTGGAAGTTAAAGCACATGTAACATATGTTTTTTTCAAAGACAGCGTAGTCCAGATAGGCTAGGAAGAGGAAGGAGGATTTTTAAAGTTTCTTTTATGGCTTGACATATGGCAGTTTATTTAATATCACGCTTGATTGTGGATTTTTTAAAAAAGTCTTTCTGAAGTGTACTACCTTGTAGAATACTTAATTTTGTAGCCTTGCTTTTGCAGTTATAGGAGACCCCCACAGTTTCATACCTGTTACTAAAGTTGTACAATCTCTGATGTGCTAGTATTTGGCCCAGATTCTCTGCCTGCAGAGAGTGGTGATGGTTTCTGACCCACATCCTGGTTGGTGGTGGGGTGGAGAGATGAACTTGGCTCACGGGGCTGGCCTATATGCAAAGATGCTTCTTGTTCCCACCACGGCGCCCACACCCCCCTACCTACCCCTGCCCCGCTACAGTTGAGAGTAGGTTTATAAAATTGTTTCCCTTTTGGAGTCAGAGCGTGGTTGTATGGCCTTTCTCCTCGGAGAAGGTAAGGACACATTTGGGAAGGAGAGGGGAAGGACAGACAGAATGACAGGGTACACGAAGCAGTGCAGGAAGCAGTGTCCCTTCCCTTTTTTCCCTGGTCAGGGGTGAGTATGCCAGGAGGATGGATTTTTGTAAAGACTGGAGGGAGTGTGAAAGATTCCTGGCTTCTCAGGTCACCTTAGTTGAGTTGACTGCTCAACTAGAGTTGAGTGCTCAGGACAGGGCCCTGGAGTCCTGCGAAGTTCCTCATCCATTCACACCAGCTGCTGCCTTGCCAGACTCACAGGGCTTTCTTGAAGCTTAGTGAGAGATTGTCATTTTATATTTTTGGCCAGTAGAGTCTGGAGGCCAGATTGGTTCCTTCCCACCTCCACTCTGTTTAGATTTCAGGACTTGACTTTGATCCCTCCCTTCAGGAATCTGTAACGTGAAACCGGGAATTGGAGAGTATTTATCTAAGAGAAATCGTAGGAGCGCCCTCTGGTGGTTAGTATCTTTTAAAGTAGTAATTTGAAACAGTTTTCCTGTGCTGGTGGCAGTTTTGTCAATGTAAGTAATTACATAAAGTTCACATTCGTTCTTAGATTGAGCAAAGGCTCCTTTTTTGCTGCATGTAGATTTCCTGGCATGTGTCAGATGCTCTGGAATAATTGAGTAAGTGAACATGGTCCTTACTTTTTAAAATTTTGGGTAGTAGCTTCACATAGGAGGCTGTATTGGCTATTAAATGGGAAGAGACAATAGCCATTTGTGCAGTTTTTTCTGAAAATGTATATGGCTGGACTTCTGATGAAACATGTGGTGTTAGTTAGCAAACACAATGGTGCTGGCAGTGCAGTCCTAGCGAGGCAGTCGTGACCTGGTCACGCCAGCATGGCTTGGATCCACCTTGAGGGTCAGCCTGGTGCGGGCCTGATGGGAGTAGACAGTGAACATGTTGCTGAGGGGCCAGGTGGGACCGCGCGTGTGAAGGGAGCCGTCACGCGGGCCATGCAGTGCACTTGAGCCTGGTCGGAGGATGTGGAGAGCCCTGTCTGGGAATCAGTGCTGTCAGCGTTTGGGCCCGGGACTCTGAAAGCTGCCTCTGTAGTGCTGTGCAGCTGCCTGGCCTCACGTCTCAGCCTTTGACAGCTGTTTCTTGGGCTCACTTCTCTTTCCTGATCATTTTTTCAACCTTTTGTTTTCAAACCTGTGGAAGAGTTGCAAGAATAGGACAGGGAGTGTGTCCATCAATTGCTTTTTCTGAGTGTGTGTATCATCTTAATGTCTATTTTTAACTTTTGCTGAATCATTTGGGAGTAAGTAGCAGGTACGATGCTCTTCGACTCCTAGTATTTCAGTGTGTATCTCTTTAGAGTAAGGGTATTTTCTCAAGTGACCACAAATTTGTCACTAATTACAGGAAATTTAGTGTTGCTATGATACGGTTATCTAATACACACCCTATGTTCCTGTCTTGTCGGTTGTCTCAGCAATGTCCTTTGTAGAATTTTGTTTTGCCTGCTGTAGCTTTCAGTACAAGATCATACCTTATGTGAACTTGACCTGTCTGTTTGATGCCCTTTAATCTGTAATGGCCTTTCTTTGTGTTTCATGACACTGACATGTTTAAAGATCATTTATTTTGTAAAATGACCCTCATTTTGGATGTGTCTGGCTTGTTAGTCATGATTAGGTTTGAGTTATGTGAGGTTCTTTGTCCTTGAATTTTGACAGGGTCTCGCTATGTATTACAGGCAGGCGCCACCATGCGCAGCTTGGCTGTGTGTTTTCTGAGAACCACCACTGGAGTGGTTGATACTGTCCTACTCTCAAGTGTCACAAGATGTCAGTTGTTCCAGCGTTGCTGATGTTACTTTTATCCGTTAGTTTCTGTGCGCCACACCATATGTGCTCCCTTCAGGGAGCCTCTGATTTCCTCCCACAAGGTTCGGGGAGACCCTTGAAGGCTGTGGCCTCCCGGATTCCCCAGTGTTCCTGAGGTCAGGGAGGATCCTGGTCAGTGTTGCCCATCACTGTGGGAGGAGTCAGAGTGATGTGTTTTCAAGCCAGCATTCCACTGGTTTGTTTTTTCTTTTTTTTTTTGGTCTTTTACTGGTACCAGGAATCGAACTCACGACCTTGCACTTGCCAGGCAGGTGCTGTGCCGCTGAGCTAAATCCCCAGCCCCCACCAGCATTCCACTGTAAAGAGCAGCTTTTCTTGCTCCCCTCTTACATTGCTTTGCATCAGTACGGATGCATTCCTTTTCCTCTCCTCAGAGCATCGATTCATTGTTGCCATTCATTCTGACTCCCGATTGCCCTCTGTGCTGGCTCCTGTGCCCTTAACAGAGCTTTGCCACTAGCAGGGGTCAGATTTCTTGAGGTGTAGTTTACATATAGTAACAGTCACCTTTTTTATAGTTTGGCATATTACAGTAAGTAGAAGTTGTGTATTCCTCACTAATGTCAAGATACAGATTGTCTTTCACTCTGTAGAGTTCCTCTGTGCCCCTTTACCGTCAATTTCTTCCCTCCATCCTTGGCCTCTGGCAACCACTGATCTGAATTTTGTTTGTATAATTTTGCCTTTTAAGAAGAAAACATATTACAACATGGGGCTGGGGGTTGAGACAGGGCCTCATTCTATAGCCCAAGCTGGCCTTGAGCTCCCAGCAGACCTGCTGCCTCAGCCTCACAGGTGCTGGGATTATGGGGGTGCTCCACCATGCCTGGTTAACTTTTTTTGAGTGTCTTTTTATTACAGAGTTTTGAAAATTCTTTATGTGTTCTAAATGCAAGCTCTCTTCTTTTTCTTTTGGTACTGGGGAATGAACCCAGGGCCTTGCGCATGCTAGACAAGCATTCAACCACTGATCTATCTGCCCAGCCACTCCCTCCTTCCCTTCTTTCAGCATTGTAGGTATTGAACCTTGGGCCTCACACATGTATGAAAATGTTCTACTACTAAGATATGCTCCTGGTTCTCCTTTTCTTTTTGTTAATGTGATTCTGAGACAGAGTCTTTGAGTTGTGTGGGCTAGTCTTCAACTTGGGATCCTTCTGCCTCAGCCTCCTGGGTAGCTAGGAATACCAGCTTGCTTGAGTACACCCAGCTTCCAGATTTTCCTTTTATAGTTCATGATTGTTACGTTCCAAGGTACCATTGTCTAACCTAAGTTCATTCTTTGTTTTCTTTTAGAAGTATCATTATGTTTCTCTTATCTCCCTATTTCTTTGAGATAGGTTCTCTTGCTATGAAGTTCAGGCTTATTAGGTAGCCTAGGCCTTGAACTCACAGCTATCGTCTGCCTCAGCCTCTGGAGTGCTGGGGTTACAGCACCACGCACCACCACACCTGATTGCTCTAATTTAAATCTACGATACATTGTGAGTGAATTTTTACTTACACTGGGAGGAAAGGGTCATAGTTTTTTTGGTTTGGGTTTTTTGGTATTTGGATATCTCACTGTGTTCCTTTACAGTTTATTATTAAGTTCCCTTCACACTTCCTCTTCAGATTTTCAGAACTTCCTTCCTTTCTGGTACAAAAAAAAGTCTTGTCTTTATATTTTTCCTGCTCTTGCTTTGGCACCAGAAAACATGGAAATTTCTGGCAGTTCTGGGGGCCAGGCGTGCTGACCACTGCTGGGAGACTTGCTCCTTCTAGACTCTTAGAGATGGAGCGAGGAAATGCACGTAGTTTTCAGATTCCAAACTTGTAACTGCGGTCAGCAGCACAGGGTGCTCCTCGCCGCTCCTCATTCATCCCTTCCTATCGTAGTCGTGAGGTTTGAACCCGGGGCCTCATGAGTCTGAGCTGAGTTGCACCCCTGGCCTAGTTTATATTTGAGTCTCCTTTTTCCCACAGTAAGAATCAGGCTCCCGCCATGAGTGTGTTTTCCCCTAGCATCAATAACAAACCCCTTAAGCCAGGTGTTGAAGATACCTTTGCAGTGAGCTAACAGACAAACCTCTTTTCTTTATTATTAGTGTAAAAGAAAAACTTCTGTAGTATCTTTTTTCTTTATGCCACAGATGATGGTGGAGGTACTGCGTTCAGTTGTTGAATTCGTTCTTCCCAGTATTGGCAGTGTACTCATATGTTTTACATCAGATACACGAATTTTGAGTGCAGAGTTCAATAAATTTTGACATAAAATACATACAAAACTGTGTCTCACAGCCTAGAGCAAGATACAGTTCTGAAAACTCCCCTTGGCCTTTTCCTGTTAATTTCTACCCAAAAGAAAGTGTTTTCAGAATTCTATCACCATGAATTAGTTTTCTTTGTTTGTAGATTTAGATTGTATTTGAGTTCCTATGTGATATTATCTATATATGAATGATACATATATATGTATCAGTTTATTCCTGAGCAGTGCTGTATTCCATTGGATGAATGTGAAACATTTAATTAATATATTACCCACTTGATGGACCTTTGAATTCTTTACACATTTGGGCTGTTATGAGTCCTTACCTGCTATGAAATCCTTACACTGGTCTTCTTGTGTTTCCATGTACTCAGAATTACTGGATCATAGGCTAGGTGTTCAATAAAAATCACCCATTTTCCCAAGTGATCTTTGCTGATACTTGATATTGTCAGTCTTTTTTTGGCCGGGGAGGTGGTCCTGGGGATGGAGCCCAGAGCATTGCACACTTCATCACTTAGCCACACCCTTGTAAGTTTTAAAATTTTTCGGAGCTGGGGATTTAGCTCAGCGGCACAGTGCCTGCCTGGCAAGCGCAAGGTTGTGAGTTCGGTTCCCGGTGCTGGAAAAAAAAATAATTAAAACTTCCATCATTCTGGGTGTGTATGTTTGTTAGCAATTTCTAGTAGTTTTAATTTTCATTTCTCTGATGACTGATACACAGAACACATTTTCATATGCTTATTGACCATTTAGAGATTTTATTTTGTGAAGTACTTTCCAAGTATTATTTGCCAGTTTTGTTTCAGGTGAGTAACTTGTCTTTTTATGTTGACTTGTAAAAGTTGTTTAAATATCCTGGGCATAAGTTGTCAGATACACCCCCTCTTCCACACACACAATTATTTTCTCCCATTCTATGGACTACTATTCCCTCCACCCCCATGCCAGGTAGAATTCAGCGGCCTTTGCACAGTTTCATCAGCTGTTTTTTTGTTCTTGTGTTTGTTTTTTGACAGAATCTCACTAAATCACTAAGTTGCCCAAGCTGAACTTAAAGTTGTGTGTACCAGTTCTGCTGAGCTCTTTTCATTTTTTAAATACTATTTTTTTTTTGATGGGGGATTTTTAATTTTTGAGGAATTCTGATTTTTTGGTTTTGTTTTGTTTTGCGGTACAGGGATCGAACTCATGACCTTGCGCTTGACAGGCAGGCACTTACTGAGCTATATTCCCAGCCCCTGATTGTTTTTTCTTTATGGTAGGTGTCATTCAGATTTAACTCTTTGCTGACTTTGTGGTCATGAGGTTTTCTAAAAATTGTTTTGGCTTGCACATTTAGGTTTATGATGAAGGTCAGTTTGTATTCATCGTGTGAATAAGAGATTATGGTTTGATTCCCACCCTCCACCCCATGTGGATAGCTAGCTGCTCTAAGTACTATTTAAAAAATATTTTTACTTGCTTTGGTATATTTGCTAGAAATCAGGTGACTTATATATTTGTGAGTCTGTTGTTGCAATTTGTTCTGTTGATTTTTTTCTGCATTATCATGATAATATAGCTGCTATGACTTCGTAGTAATTCTTGAAATCTAGTAATACAAATCTCACATTACTTTTTTATGAGTGTCCTAGCTAATGTAGTTTGGCCTTGATTTTTATTTCCCTTCCAGGTGGTGGTAATGTGGTCACTTTAAAAGTCAGGTTTCTGCTTCTGTTCAATTTTAGGTTCCTTCCTATCTTTGTCAGTTCATTGTTTTAAACATGTAAAATGGCAAATGGTTCTGAAAATCAAAACTATACTGAAGATTCACATCTCCTTCCTGCCCTTGTCCCTTCTATCTTCTGGGTAACTAATTACATTGATTTCTCCTTTGTCTCTCTTATGTTTGTTTTTGCATAAATAAACATATCACATAGTTATATTTATTTTTGTGCACATATTGGAATATAGCTATAAAATCTTTGTTTCTTTTTTTGGCTAGGGGGTACCTGGAATCAAACTCAGGACCTTGTGCTTGCCAAGCAGGCACTTGTGCCGCTGAGCTATATATCGCCAGCCCTAGTCTTTTGTTTCTTAACTCTTAAATTAGGATTGACTTTTTTTTTTTTTTTTTTTTTGAGACAAGGTCTCACTATGTAGTTTAGACTGGCCTTGAACTCACAGTGACCCTCCTGCCTCAGCCTCCCGAGTGCGGGATCATAGGTGTGTGCTACCACACCTGGCTGGTTTTTTTGGTTTTGTTTTGTTCTTTAAATGTTTTTGTTTTTTTTAAGACACGGTCTCACTGTGTAGTCCAGGCTGGCCTTGAACTAGCAATAATCCTCCTGCCTCAACCTTTTGGATGATGGGATTATAGGCATGCACCACCATACCTGGCTAAGGTTAACTCTTGTAGTTCAATTTTTTTTTTTTTAAACTTGATATATGCTGGAATTTACTCTTTATGGGGGCTTAGAGATTTTTCTCATTCTTCTTAGTGTTGCATAGCAACCAGTATTTAATAAGCCCAGTCTTGCTGGAAGCAAGCTCAGAGCAAATAAACTTGTAATTCTTTGTGCTGCAGTGATTTCTGGGCTTTGCTGGGCCAGTTTCTTTTTTTCTAGAACAGCTGTGAGCCCAAGGCCAGGAGAACCATTTGATAGGGGATGTGTGTGGAAAAGTCTCTTTCAGGCTAAACTGTTCTGGACTCATCAGACTCAAGAACACAAACCAGTTTGAACAGCAGGAGGACAGGGAAGCAGCAGCATCCCGAGCTCTCGCCGCTTCCTTTCGTCCACGTTTATGCACCGTCACGTGGTGTGCCCTGCCCTCAGTGCCCCCCCAGCCGTGCTTCCCGAGAGGAGAGTGTGCCAACCAGTGTGCCCCGCAGCTTTTAGCAAGTGTCTGTCACGCTTTCACTCAGTCTTTCCCTCTGACACAGGTGGCCCGGGAGAGCGGCCCACCCCACATGAAGAGCTTTGTGACCAGGGTTTCAGTTGGGGAGTTTGTAGGGGAAGGGGAAGGGAAGAGCAAGAAGATTTCCAAGAAGAACGCTGCTATTGCCGTTCTTGAGGAGTTGAAGAAGCTGCCACCTCTGCCTGCAGTTGAGCGAGTGAAGCCAAGAATAAAAAAGAAAACCAAACCTACAGGCAAGGTGAGAACTTTCCTGAATGAAGGGGCGTTTTTTGTTGCCAGAATGGTTGGGCGTTTAGAAGGCTGATTGCTTCCCCAGCATACAGGGGGATGGAACTCAGTGTCACATGCCCGGCTGGCAGTCCCTTTACAGATGCCACACAAGAGCCGCCGTTCAAGATGAGGCCACAGCTTCAGTCCAGTAGGACACTTGCAGGGTGCCTGCCCCTCCGGAGAGGGAGGTGCTCCTCGAGTCCTGACAGTCCCCACAAGGAACAGGGTCCTGTGTGCCATCTGCAGGCACGAGGTTGAATTGCAGAGCCTCTGTCTCTGCGGGCAGTTCAAAGTCCTGAGGCGCAGGAGGCCCCCAGGGCAGCGTGGGGGAGGGGCAGCTGCTGACTCCTGCTGCTTGGAGCCACACTGGCAGGCAGATGTGGCAGAGCATTGCACGGCTTCCTTTCTTTTTTTTTTTTTTTTTTTTTTGGTTTTTTTCCGGTACCGGGAACTGAACTCACGACCTTGTGCTTGCCAGGCAGGCGCTTTTGCCGCTGAGCTAAATCCCCAGCCCCACGGCTTCCTTTCTTACTACCAGGAAAAGGACAGATGCCACTTGGGGACATTCCGTTGTGATTTTTATAGTTTATTGCTATATCAAGATCCTGCTTTTTCTTCCTTAAGCTCTGGTATTGTACACAACAGTTTCCTTTCTTCACTTACTGTATCCTGGAAATCATTCCAGCCTGGTGGCATGGGTGAGGATTTCAGAGGACAGAAGGTGGCTGCTGGTGCTTTTAGGTTTTTCTTTTCATGAAGCATCAGCTTGAGGCTTTTAAAAAGTTTTTAATGGTTTTTGGATTTTAAGTCACTGTTCAGAAAGGTGGGAACCCATCATAGTACCCCTGGCTGTCCATATCTATGGGTTTCCCATCTGTGCATTCAACAGACCTGGGATTGAAAATAGTTTGGGGGAAATCATGTCTGTACTCACCGTGCAGAACCTTGCTGTTCTTGTCGTTCCTCCCTAAACAACGCAGTATGATACCTTTTTACATGGCATTTATATTGTGTTATATGTAACACGTAATCTAGACGATGGTAGTATTCGAGAGGATGTGCACAAGTTGTATGCTGTCTGCAGGCATTGAGGCAGCACGCTGAGAGGATAGGTCTGTTGTCCCAGCTGCTTGGAGTCTGAGATCAGTCTGGGTAACATCGCAAGAGACCCATAAAAAAAGCATTGCAAAGATGCTTGCCTTTGATAGTGAAATATTGATGTCCTAAAGCCGTAAAATCACCTTTGAATAATCACAGAAAGTTATAAAGCATTTTTTTATATTATAAGGTTAAAAAAGATTTGACTAATTCTGAGCCATTACATAAATATAAAACCCGTTGTTTCCTGGCATGTGCTGACCTGAGTTGACCAGGCTTTTTCTGTGAGTGATACGGCAAACAGTGTCTGCATTGTTTTTTCCTCAGTTACAGACAAGCCCAGAATACGGCCAGGGGATGAATCCGATTAGCAGACTGGCCCAGATCCAGCAGGCCAAAAAGGAGAAGGAACCAGAGTACATTCTCCTCACAGAGCGAGGCCTCCCCCGTCGCAGGGAGTTCGTGATGCAGGTGGGTTGGCTCAGCTGTGGACAGCTCTTCTCTGACCATGGCAGTCCCAGATCGGGGGACTGGGTTCTTTCCGGAAGAGGCCGGGTCCACCGAGCCACAGCGTGCCATCAGACACTGCTGTCACAGGACCACTTTGCTTTCGGGGCTGTGAGGACTTTACACTGCAGGCCTGTCTGCAGAGCACAGCACTGCCCCCTGCCAACAGGTAGGAGTGGGGACAGGCCGTGTGTACATGGAGAGGGTGCTGGTGAGTCGCTGTCTTCATTGCACCTGGTGGGTCATAAATTGTGGTTCTTCTGTCTTAGCCTCCCAAGTAGTTGAGATTATAGGTATGCAGCACCACACCTAGCATAATAATGTGTGTGTGTGTTTAATGAAAAAAGAATACAGTAGCCTCGCCTTCTAGGCGGTTTTGTTTTCTGGGGTTTCAGATACCCATGGTTAGCCTAAATCTGAAGATACTAAAAGGAAAATTTCAGAAAGCAGTACTCTGTAAGCTTTAGATTGTGCACCATTCTGAGCAGGCTGATGAAATCTCGAGCCATCCGCTGTGGCTCACAGGAATGTGAAACACCCTTGTGCCCAGCATATGTGTGCTGTGTAACCACCTACTTGTTAATCACACAGTAGCTTTCTTGGCATCCGTTCGCCTGTCGGGGTAGTACAGTGCTCGTGTTTGCATAGTGTGCAGGGCTTGGTGCTCTTCACAGTGTCAGGGCTCCAGGGGAATTCTTGGAGTGAACCCCTCGCAGATAAGGGCGACTGCTGTACTTCATTTTTGTGTAGCAGTGTGCGGTACATAAAGAACCATCCCCTATCCTGGGGTGTTTCTTTTACTTGGTCAGAAGCTAGGAAAAGGAGTCATCTTTCCATTCTTTAAGTTGCAGTTTGCTGGAAAGAAAGCAGTATTTTGCCAGAGGTAAGGTAGTTGGTAGATAGCCATATTAGAATCAGACCTAGGCCAGCTCTCGGCAGGCCAAGTGCTCATGACGGGATTTTGGTTTTAGCAGCCAGGCCCTGTGGTCAGGACCAGCTTGGAAGGAGGTTGTGAATGTGCTGAACATGCTAGTATATGTGCTGCTGAAGAGCACAGCTGAGCATGCGTAAAACCCGCTTTAGCCAGGATTGATGGCACATGCCAGTAACTCCAACGTTCTGGGAGGCTGAGGCTGGTGGATTGCAAGTTTGAGCCTAGCCTGGGCAACTTCGTGTGACCCTGTCTCAAAAAAAAAAAGAGGGCTGAGATGTACCTTAGTGCGAAAGCCATGTATTTAGTCCCCAGCACTGCAAAATAAACCCATTCATAAGGAAGATGTCTTGGCAAGTAGAATGTACGTGTGAGAGTAGACACAAATACGCATACGTAGCATTTGTGTAATATAAATTTTACTGCTACAAAGGATGTATAGCATACAGTTTCTTATATATAATACTGTTTATTGTAAATGTCATATACCTGCAACTTCAGTGTGACGGTCACCAACAGTAGTGTTATAGAGTCAAACAGCACATAATGCTCTACTGCTGTTCATTTTAGCTCATGTTTTTGACAAAACCATAGTTCAGACCTGAGATTTTAGTTCCAGCATGAAAACTAGTTTTTACTAAGTAAAGTGAAAGTTAAACATTGAAGACCTGGCTTGTTTGTAAACAGTCAGTGTGGGTGCTTTTTGTGCTGCACTGGATAGGAAGTCTTTGAAGACTTGTGAAGCTGGGTGTGGTGTAATCCCAGTACTTGGGAGGCTGAAGCAGGAGGATTGATGTGAGTTCGAAACCAGCCTAGGCTACAAAGTGAGCTCAAGGCCAGCTTGAACTGCATAGTGAGACCCTGTCTCAAAAAGAAAAAAAAAAAGACTTGATGTTTGGTTTTTTGTACTAGGTACAGTGGGATGACTTTGGGCCCTCCTTGCTTTTAAGCTTAATTTCCATACACCTTTCCTCCAGCACTTTCTTATGTGTGATAGGAATATTTGTATGTCTCTGTGGTACAAATACTCCCACTGTGACTGATTACAGGCTATCAAATGACACCTCTGGTCTCAGAGTTGGGAATAGATGTCCATCATACCGATATCTAGATGGGCAGACCCTCAAAGGGCAGAGATAACTGTTGAATGGATTCCAGTTAGGAAGTGATGGATGTGAGTACTCTGAGCTGTGTGTTGAAACAGTTGGACCCTGACCTGTTTTAATGGCCGTGTTTAACAGCAGTGCTGAGTTGCTGAACGGGTAGTGATTGACTCCTGTAGACTGGGGCAGGTGTGCTCCTGGGCACCACTGTGAAGTCATCCAGCTTCTGATAATTGCTAGGCTCTTAGCAGCACACCAACTTCTGCCTGTCTTTATTCAGAAGGTTTAAGCACTGGCCTGTGTTGTGATTAATGTATGCAGGTGAAGGTGGGAAACCACACTGCAGAAGGGACGGGCACCAACAAGAAGGTGGCAAAGCGCAATGCAGCTGAAAACATGCTGGAGATCCTGGGTTTCAAAGTTCCTCAGGCTCAGCCCACCAAACCAGCACTCAAGTCGGAGGAGAAGGTGAGTGCTAGGGCTCTCTTTGCCAGTGGCCTGCAAGGGCAGGCCTCATGGCAAGGCTTCATCCTCGGGCAGTAGAGCCACCCTCGACACAGAACCTTGTCCACTTGGGCCACTCCAGTATGCACGGTCCGTGGCTGTGAGCCAGGCTCTGGGCCAGGTCCTTACTGTTTAGTATCTCTGTGGGCTGAAGCAGCGTCGCGGGAGGGCCTCTTGGTCCTCTGCATTTGTCAGGTGATGGGTAATCTACTTCAAATTCATGAGTGGTTCTGGGTGGTTTGTACTCTTAAGATGAAATAATGCTTTTGTTAACTGTGGAGCGCACTGTGCGTTTTCTGGGGTAATGCAGTGGCGCGACCTTAGAATTAGGCCAAATGCACTTTCCTGTGGGAGTTCTTTTTCTAATGTAAGCTGAACACTAGATGAAAGTAATCCCACATTGAAAAATTCCTGCACCAGGAATGACAAGGACTCAGGGAAAGCCTCAGATGTCCTTCCTGACTCATCCTGTTGGGATAAACTTGAAATCAGGACACCTCAGTTCTGCCAGTTTATCAACGAGATAGGGAGAAAGGCACCACGGGACCACATGGTTAATAACCATGACCCCAAATACTCATCAGACTGGGCGTAGGTCCCGACGTGTTACTCCCTCACCCACACACTCTCTTTGGAAAGGTCTTCTGATTTTCTCATTGGAATATTCTTGATCATTTGGTTGCTTCCAGCTAAAGCTTTTCACTCCCCTTGGAGGCTCTGCCAACCCAGCATCTTTTGGTTCAGTGCTTCCGCGTCACGTACGAGTACAGCACCAGCCACACGCACAGGGCCGTGCGCCGGCACAGGTGCTCACTGTTGGGGGGCTTAACGTGAGGTCTGTTGCCTCCTTTGGGTTGGAGTTTGTAGTGTTGGGCTGCGGCAGCAGAGATCTCAATGGTTTGATTTAAGTTCATGGCCTTTTTCTTTCTTTTTTTTTCTTTAAGACACCAGTAAAGAAACCAGGGGATGGAAGAAAAGTAACCTTTTTTGAACCTGGCTCTGGGGATGAAAATGGGACTAGTAAGTGTGACCTTAGTATCATCGTGATCCTCCGTGACTGTGGCTTCACGTGGTGTCAGTAACTATGGCTTCCTGGAGCTGGCCGCATGTGCTGGGGATGGAGGGTGGGGATGGCCAGCATGGGGTGCGCAGCTTGTGGTTTCTCTCCAGGCAGTGAACGTGGCTTTGTGTTTGTGTGTGTCCCTCCCCAGGTCATAAGGAGGATGAATTTAGGATGCCTTATCTTAGTCATCAGCAGCTACCTGCTGGAATTCTTCCCATGGTGCCTGAGGTTGCCCAGGCCGTAGGAGTCAGTCAAGGACATCATACCAAAGATTTCTCCAGAGCGGCTCCGAATCCTGCTAAGGCTACGGTAACTGCCATGATAGCCCGAGAATTGTTGTACGGGGGCACTTCGCCCACAGCCGAGACCATTTTAAAGAATAACATCTCTTCAGGCCACGTACCCCATGGACCTCTCACAAGACCTTCTGAGCAGCTGGACTATCTCTCCACAGTCCAGGGGTTCCAGGTAACTTGGCCCTGAACTTGAAGGCTGTGGCTCTGTGTGGTCATCTCTGGGTTCCTCTCAGGAAATGAGCTCTGCACCTTACGTCTAAAATGAAGTTCTTCCTGGGAGTGTAGCAAAGTGGTTAGAGCACTTGCCTGGCACATGTGAGCGGGGTCAATATCTAGCTCTACAGAAAGCAAAACAAAGTACTAAAATCAAGTTGTCTGGGGGGCCTGGTGGGGAAGTGGTGGTGGGAAGCGTCCTAATCACAGGCCGGGGGAGGAGAGAAGGTCCTGGTCCTGTGGTAGGTACATTTCCCAACCCAAGCAGCCCTGGAGACCCAGCCGCTGACTACTAGAAACCTGATGGTTGTAAGGGAACAGGTGCGATGGGCTGACTGTGACCTTTAGGAAAGGACATGGCTCCTTCTAGCCCAGGGATCCCAAGGAGACAAGGTTCCTGGAGGGTTGGGGGCGACCTGAGTGGCAGGGCAAGTGGCGGCGGCTGCAGTTGGGTGAAGCATGCCCTGCCCCTCCTGCTCCCCTGCCTGGCCTCAGTTCTCTTTCTCCTCTTTAGGTTGAATACAAAGACTTCCCCAAAAACAACAAGAATGAATTTGTATCTCTTATAAATTGCTCCTCTCAGCCACCTCTGATCAGCCACGGTATTGGGAAGGATGTGGAGTCCTGCCATGACATGGTATGTCGGCCACCCTGTCGGGGAGGGCTCGGTGGGGTCAGTTGGATGCTTCTGTGGGGCCTTCCTGTGTTCAGCTTCTTACTGGTCTCAGAAAGATAGGAACAGAGTTCTCCGGCAGACCTGCTGACCAGCTGACGGATGGATGTCCTGTTTCTGAGGGCTCAGCTGCCTGGGTCGGTAGCTCACTCGGTCCATGGGAAAGAACGCTTCAGCTCTAGCTGGCCCTTCCCTTGCTGATGTGAGGATGGGCCGGAGTCCTGGCTCATCCAGACTCCTCTTCATCCCTGACCGGGACAGGAAGTGCAGGCCCGTGTCTGGCAGCAGGAGAAAGCCCCTCACATGGGTATTCTATTCCGGTACAATTGTCACAAGGAACACTAAAACTGAGAGAAGATACTGAATTCACAAACCTCAGCTGTGGTATATTCACCTGATGGGACGTAATCCATTCATCAGGTTAATGTGTCTGAAGATAGTACAGTAACAAGGAAAATACATGGTAGGTTTTGTTCGGAAGCAGGATAGAAAATTTGCAGTCTGTAACTTTTTTTTTTGTCTTTTTGAGACAGGGTCTCACTCTGCAGTTCAGGCTGGCCTTGAACTCACTTTGTAGCCCAGGCTGGTCTAGTACTCGCAGTGATCCTTCTGCCTCAGCCTCCCGAATGCTAGGATTACTGGCGTGCACCATCACACCCAGCTGTAACTGGATAATTTTTTAAAAACTTGTATTATAAGTTAAAAATTCAAACATTTGGTGGGGCTAGAGTTGAAGAAGTTGCCCATTTCCTTGGCAACTGGAAATACACTTCCCTATCTGCATGTTCTGCCGTAGCCCCGCGCAGTGGCTTGGTTTTACTTTTCTTTCCATTCCCTCTAGGCTGCGCTGAATATTTTAAAATTGCTGTCAGAGTTGGACCAACAAAGCACAGAGATGCCAAGAACAGGAAACGGACCAGTGTCTGTGTGAGTGAGCTGATGTGCACGGCAGGCCCTGTGTTTGCATTCACTCCCATTGTCAGCCGCTCCGGGGCATCACTTGCCTGGGTCCCTGTCAGGCCGTTGCCCTAGCAAGGTTCCCGTGTTCTCTAGGAGGTCTCTGCTGGTTTTGGGGTTAATGCTGAGTCAGTAGCACGCTCCACAGTTTACAGCTTACTTACAGTTTACTTAAGAAGGGTGGGACACGTCACCCTCGCTGAGCCTTGTCCCTCCAGGGATCACAGTTTTTTGGTTCCTTGTATGTCTCCTACATACTTCTTCATGCAGATAGAAACGTAAAATTAACTCAGTGTTTTTTCCCCAGCGATAACAATATCCACATTTTTATTGAACAGTGTACCCCAGAAAACTGAGTTATTAACCAGGGCTTGTACTGTTAGACCTCCCAATATTTGCCAATTTCGTTTTTAATACTAGCTCAGTTTCGTTTCAAAACTGACACTTTTTTCTTCTTTAAAGGTGTGGGAGGTGCTGAACCTTTTCTGGCCATGAACCATTATAAAATCCAACATATATACTGAAAATACTGAAACTGCTTTGAAAAATTGGAATTTCTGATACCTCCAGTGGGCTGAGACGTGGTGGGTGAGAACGTGGGCAGCGGCAGTGAAGACAGTGGACACACCAGGCACCGTGGGCGCAGCTCTGTGAACCTTGATCCCTGCACAGACGCGGCCGCTGTGGGAAGGAGGGGCTGCCCAGCAGCCTGGCTTGTCCAGGAAATGAGCAGCCCCGCGCCCCGGGCACCTCAGTGCTTTGGCCATTTTTACCCCTTTCCTGTGTGAAGAAACAGAAAGCAAACTGGCTCACTCAGACACTTGGGACGACTCTGGATAGCCATGCCGGAAAGAGGCCTTAGGTTGGCCCCAGACCGAAAAGCACCAGAGAATCAAATGCTTCCTACTCAGTATAACCTAATCTTTCTAGCGTGCTCTGGCCCCACCACCTCATGTAGTGCCCGCGCCATAACCACTGCTTTCTCTCCCACCAGTGATGCGTATTCTGAGTTTCATTATTTTCTTTTGATTGATGACACTATATAAAATTTTCATTTGAGGGTTTCTCAATTGTATCTAGTTACATAGCACAGTTTAGAAACTTGTCTGAGACTGACTTTATCAGTAATCTAACCGGCAAAGATCATATCCATGTGTATGTGGTTATAGTTTTATTTTATTGGACTAACCCAGGACCATTTCATTGATGCAAATTAGGTGCCCGCCTCTCTAGCTGAAGTCCTGGACTTCTCAGAAACTTTGGTGAAGTCTCCCACAGTTGTATAATTGGACAATTTAGGAATTTTAAACTTTAGATGATTATTTGGTCCTTTTCTATTTTATTTTTATTTTTGTTAATGCAATGGGACTTAAATGAACTTTGATCCTTATTTTAAAGATTATTAAAAATTGTGTCTATACATATGGCTCTTGAGGACGTAGCGTGCACTAGACTACACTACAGGGTATGATCTCCGTGTAGTGCGTTCAAGCCTGCGGGTTGATTTTCCTTGAGTGCTTGATACTGTTAATGACATCTCCACGTAGGGCTGAGAGGAATGGCTCTGTTTATATAAGCGGCTGTGTTGCTTTTGATGTGCGATTGTGCACAAAGATGAGTGCACGGAGGTCCGATCTGGTCCAGACGGCAAGCACGGTAGCCTTGCGAGTTAAGTACTGCTTCCACTCGTGTTTACGCTGGAACATTTTCTCCCCATGGAATGTAAGTAAAACTTGTGTTTGTCACCAATAAATGGTAATACTAAACGTTTTTGTTAATTTATTCTCAAATACCACCAGGTTGGTCCCCTTCCATCTCATCCCTTCCCCTTTTTCTAAGAAAAAATTTGTAATGCTTGTGATCCCATCTGGGCAAAAATCTGAAGATCTGAAATAACTTTATATCAAACCATTGATCAATAAACAGCTACTAATGAAGTTCTTGGTCCTGGTGAGCAGTAACTAAAGGACAGATTTGCGGGAATGAAGTGTGGTGCGGGGGCAGGGCCACCTTGGGGAGCTAGCTTCACTCCCAGCCCATGAGGGGCGCATGGGCACTGGGTGGAGGGAGGTGCCCCTCGCCATGGCTGAAGGCTTCAGAGTTTTTTTGTTTTTTTAAATTGTGAAGAACTGGATAGAAGCCAGGCGTGTGGCACATGCCTGTAATCCCAGCATTTGGGTGAGGCAGGAGGAGCGCTGCTTCAAAGCCAGTCTGGACTGGACTACAGGAGGACCGGTCTCAGACAAATGGGATGATTATAAAGGCATTTTCTCTCTAGCCAAGTAGGGACTGCCTGACTCACCAGAAATAAATCAGAAGGAATGCAAGATGCCAAGGGTAGAAGGGAATTCAACACTGAGGATAAAGGCTGTAAAAGGACAATGACATTTTATGGCCTTCAAAACAAAAAAAATTTCGTGGCTGGTGAGTCTCATTGAGGTATTCCTGCAGGTTGACAGGCCCTAAGAAAATGCTGGCTCTGACTTGATGCACATTCAACAGAGCATGTGTGGGTTTTTTTGTTTTGTTCTGTTTTTTTTGAGACAGTGTCTCTATAATTCATACTAGCCTTAAACTTGCAGCAGTTCTCCTGCCTCAGCCTCCCAAGTGCTGGGATTACAGGTGTGTGCCACACACCCAGCTGGTATCTTCTTTTGAGTGTATGACTTTGTAGAAACTCATTCCAGGTATTCCGCAGAAGAAACATATGGCCCAGGCTGACTTGGGTAATTCACTCACATCAGTTTTAAAAGCGTCACAATGGAAAAATTATAGCTGAAAAATAGGGTACGTTAACAAGCTCTTCATTGATATCTTTATCTATGAAATCATTAGAATCCCTTTATTACTTTAAAATAACATGGAAGTTTGCTCTTACACTGTGCTCTCGTTCTTCCCGTTCATCTCTTTTGTCTGTGCCACTCCTGAATAGGAAACGAACTCTACCACCCAGGCCCCAGGCAGGTCTGAGCGGTGTCTCATGGCGGCTTGCCCTTTCCTGGTACAGCGGCCTGTTGAGAAGCACAGGGGGCCTCTGGTCACCTCCTGCCATGTCGGTCAGTCCTGCGGGCTCCTGTCTCACAGGCCCCACAGGGAGCACATACAGGCCTGTCACTGACTTGGCCTGGCTCTCGCCGATGGCTCGGTTTGGGCAGTACCTTCTTGACAGGGAAGCCATAAAGCTGATGCCGTGCTTCGTGTGTCACAGCGAGGGCACCCACTCCCCTCGGTGACCGGGTACTTTGTGGAGGAGCTGGCAGGACCTGGGACCAGCACCGTCGGCCCCAGCCCAAGAAGAACCTCCCTGTCCGTTAAGCCCTTGGGGTGGACGTCAGTGTCCGCAGATGGCAAGACTGCACCAGGTACGGACTCGGAGTGGGTGATGGGCAGTGCACCATTACAACCCATTATTTTGATGCTTACACTGTCCTAAATGTGGCCACCAGAAGATCCTTCCAGTTGGTTCTTGGGTCCTTTGGGCATGTCCATCTTTTTAAAAGATTTGTCTGTTGCAGTGGATACAAGAAAATCTCCCATCTTAACTATTTTAATGTGACAATTCAGTGCTGTTGTGTCCAGTCTTTTGTGACCATCACCCCCACACATCTCCCTGTCATTTTTTATCTTACGAATGTGAAGCTACACCCGCTGCACAGTAGTTCCCCATTCCCTCCCCCAGCGGCCACCGTTTTACTTGGTCTCAGATTTTCACGACTTACACTTCATCTAGATCGTGAAGTCTTTTTTGACTGGCTTATTTCACAGAGTAATGTCCTCAGTGCGGGTCCGCGTGGTAGCTCACGTCATAATCTCTGGCCTTCTCGCTGTCCACTGTGCACAGCACCATTCTGCCTCTCCGTGCCCTTGGCGGGCACTCAGGTTGCTTCCATGTTTTGGCCATTATGAGTAATGCCACTATGAACATGGGGGTACAGGAACCTCTTTAGGATTCTGCTTTTTTGAGCATATACAAGGTTAATTGCTACACTGTATAGTAAATGCTGATTTTTTGAGGAACTGCTGTATTATTTACATAGCAACTGTGCTACTTTATGTTCCTGCTAGCAGTGCACAAAAGTTTGTTTTTCCACATCTTCACCCATACTTACTTTTTATAGTAGCCATCTTTAGCAGGTACTGTCCTAGTCCTTATTTGCATTTCTCTAAAGATTAGTGGTGCTGAGACAGGGATGGTGGTACATGTCTCTAATCACAGTGCTCAGGAGGCTAAGGCAGGAGGATCGCTGCAAGTGAAGCCAGCCTAGGCTACATAGCAAGTTCAAGGCCAGTGTGAACTATGTAGTGAGATACTATCTCAAAACAAGATTAGTGATGTTGCGTATCTTTTTATGTGCTTTTTGGTGTATCTTTTCTAAAGAAATGCCTATCAAGTCTTTTGTTCTTTTTTTTTTTTTTTTGGTTTTTTTCTCCGGTACCGGGAACCGAACTCACGACCTTGTGCTTGCCAGGCAGGCGCTTTTGCCGCTGAGCTAAATCCCCAGCCCTTTTGTTCATTTTTAAACAGGGTTGTTTGCTATTTTATGGTTATCAGTCCTTTTTCAAATAAGGTTTGTGATTTTTTTCTCCCATTTCATTATTTGCCTTTCAGTTTTTATAGTAGCACAAAAGTTCTAGGCAAAATCTAATCAAGTTGCTTCTGCCATTTGTATCAGCCAAGAAGTCACTGTCAGAAATTCTATGTTGGACAGCTTTTGCTTTTCATGTTTTCTTCTAAGACTTTTATAATTTTGGTCTTAGGTTTAATTTTTGTACATGAAGTAATGGTCCAGTTCTACTGTATGTGTTTTCTTGGCACCATTTTTAAAAAATGTGTGTGGGGTGTCTTGTTTTTGAGGCAGGGTCTCACTACAGTTCAGGCTGGCCTTGAACTCACAGTGTAGCCCAGGCTGGCCTCAAGCTTCTGCTGATCCTCCTGCCCCAGGCTCAGGAGGGCTGGGATTAGAGGTGTGTATCACCACACCTGGTTTAAAAAATCGTTTTACCAGACTAGGCATGTGGTATATGCCTGTTAATCCCAGCACTCTTGAGTGGGTGAGGCAGTTTTGCATGTCTGAGCCAAGCCTGAGCAATTAATTTTTTTTTTTTTTTAAAGCTAGGAAATGTATCTCAGTGCACTAGGTTCAATTTCCCCCTCCAATCATTTGACACCATTGTTTATATGTATGTGAGGCTTTTTCTGGGCCCTCCAATCTTTTCCCTTGCTGTGTATGCTTGTTTTAATGCCAGTACCAACCATGCTGTTTTGATAACTGTAACTTTTTAGTAAGTTTTATTTTTTTGAGACAGGGTCTCACTATGTAGTCCAAGCTGGCCTTGAACTCACAATTCTCCTGCTTCAGCCTGAGTGTGCTGGGATTACAGGCATGCACCACCACACCTGACTCTAGTAAGTTTTCAAATTAGGAAATGTGAGTCCTCTAGCTTTTACTTAAAGATTATTTTTTGTTACTTAGGGTCTTTCACGTCCCATATAAATTTTAGGATAGGTTTTTCTGTTCCTACCAATTTCTGACCACTGGTTTTACACACATTGAGATACTTCGAGGCCATCTTCCTCTTTTCCTGTCCCCAGCCCTGGATTCAGCCATTTTTCCAAGGGGCCCTTGTCCCCTGCACTGGCAGATTTGGACAATAAGGTCTGGGATTTCTGAGCTCTCTTTGCTACTGAGACATTAGTACATTCCTGCAGACCACCAGGAAACCTGTATGTCGACATGTACTTAGCCATACAAACATTTCTATTTTCTAAAGCCATCCATTCATACTGAAACTCCCAGCACCTTGGGTTTTTTGTAGCTTCCCTTTTACAGGTCAGCAGAGTTTGCTGTTCTTGATCTCATAAGTCTGGACATAGAATTTTACCGACAGAATTTCATACCCAAGCTGGTTGAGGCCTTCCAAAGCCAGGGCAAGTGGACTGTAACTCTTGGAAATGGATGTTATTTTCGAGGTCGGGTCTTCCAGGCCCGCTGGGCCTGCGCCAGGGTGAACTTTTTTTTTTTGGTACTGGAAACTGAACTTAGGACCTTGTGCTTGCCAGGCAGGCACTTATGCCGCTGAGCTATAACTCCGGCCCCAAGGGTGAACTTTCAGTGGCAGGGCTCAGGGTGGATCCCCAGGTCTGTCCCGTGCTTGACCTTCCCACCCAAGAAGCTACTGCTGCTGCTTGGTGCGTAGGCGCCAAGAGGAACCCAGCAGACTAGGGCGATGGCAGGAAGGCAGCTGAGGCTGGAGATGGCGTGGCTTCAGTTTGTATGGAAACGTAACTTGAGAAGCAGATCGCTACCATCTGATTTGACAGATTCTGCTGAGCATGTAAGCATGGGTGGGTTGGCAGAGAAGTTAGCCAGTTTTCTCAAACTGGCTTTTAAAGAGATCCATTCTTTCGGGACGCAACAGACTACTCAAAGACAGGGGCTGGGGGCTTGGTTAGCGAAGCAGAACAGCCATTTTCTTGGAGTTTCCTTGCCTGTGTACTCGTACTGGTGTGTTTAATAGAAAGATACAGACTGTGCATGTGAAGTCAATCTTTAAATATCACATTTGCTTTGTAATTACTATTCTAATTTGTTAACAAAAACTAGGAAATTTGTATTGCTTTATTCTGTGCTATTAACAACCCCTTTTTTAGAAATACTTCCTTCTGCCGTACACAAACCCAGGACTGCAGTGACAAGAGCAGAGCAGTTACCGCATTAGTGTTAAATTTGTTTAAATTACAAGTCTATTATAAACAATTAGGAAGACACCCACAGCCTGGGTCCCAACATCAATCTTACCATGTTCACGTGCTCCCCACCCTGCTGTGACAATGGCATTTGCACTGCTGCCTTCATGGCCAGAGAGCTGGGCTCGCTTGGACTCTCACTGCTGCCCCAGAGCTTGCTGGGGCACAGGCAGGATCCGTGACAGGACCCTCTGCCTTCCCACGTGGGTTCGAGGAGCCTTTAGCTCGTGGTGAACGCTCTCGTTCCTTAGCGTACACAAGCAGCAGGGACAGCGGACCTCTGACGGCACTGAGCTCATGTGGACTGGCGGGTGCTGATGTCCTGTGGAGTCTGCATCTGCACAAAGGGTCTGTCAGAACCTCTGCAACCCCCTTGACCGTTCTGTAGTATCTCTTCCTATGTGGGGACATGGCAAGATTCTGATTTCCTTGCTCTTTTGCCAGCAGACCCTTAAGGTCAATGGCTTGGATTTTCTGTAGCTTGGAGATGGCTCAGGCTTTTGTCTACACTGTATGCCTACTGCAGGCTGATGGGAGATTGGTGACCATGTGGAAATACATGCCTGAGAATTTTCTGAGTCCTTCCTAGTAAGTTACTTTCCTGGCTTTTTGGATGTATGGACGAGAACACTGTAAACATGGTTGAAGGCTGCAGCTAAGAGAGGAGAGGTTTACACTGGCTCGTGCTGCAGTGGTCTCAGCCCTTGCATGGTCCGCCGGGTCCAGGCAGAAGCAGCACAGTGGAAGGGACTGGCAGAGGAAAGTGCACTTCAGGCAGGTAGGAAGCAGTCAGGTGAGGCGAGAAGGGAAGAGATGTCCTTCCAGGTCCCGCCACTGACCACACCCTACCTGGTAGCAGAAATCAGCTGTAAAGCCCAATCCGATCACCATCCTAACACGTGAGACTCTAGGGACCATTCTGGATTAGAGCTAAGCCATAACCATGGCCCAGGTTCCCCGGGCGGCACCGCCTGTCCATTGGCAACTGGATTGCAGATGTCATGCCTCAGCTGGCTCTGGAGCACTACCGGTTAAGCCCACAGCTGGTCTGTTTGGCTTCCTAAGCCCTTTATCAGGGCAGTGGAGAGACCAATGGCTCGAGGCATGGGTGCCAGATGCGTAGAGGGCTGGAGACTCGGAATGCGTGGTACAGGGCAGTGGGCTTTATTTGATGCCTGCCCCCTAGCTGGCTGGTCAGGATGCTTCATTTGAAAGCCATCTGTCTGAAGCCCGTGACAACAGTCCGGGAAAGGAGGCAGAGGGGGCTTTCTGGCTCCCATGTAGGGCTCGCTCCAGCTTGATGCTGGCTCGAGGGAGGTGCCTGATATTCCCAAGACACCAAGCTCGGCTGCCGCACCTGGGAATGGCAGGACCTGGGGGGATGCCAAGCCCTTTCTGGGCCCACCGAGAGGGTCAGGTTCTATTTTCTCAGCTGCCATTTGCTACAGAAACCCAGGATCCTGGAGCAGTAATCACGTGCCCCTCCAGACCCTGGGGGGTTCCTTTAACTGCTTGCAAGCTGGGCCTTTCTCCAGTGCACAGTGAAAAACTTTCTCTGTTTTATTTCCCATTCACCTTTCCCATCCAGTCTAGGAAGCTTTCCCCATCTACTGTGGTGTGGTCTTTACACAGACGGTGCTCTCAAGCTGCCAGATTTTCTCTCACATCATTTGGTCTGTAAGGGGGGAAACCTACAGACAGGCAACGTGCTCATACAGCTGTGGCCGCCTGCCCCAAGTACAGTGAACTCCCCGAGAATGGAGGGACAGGCCAGAAGCTGGGCCATGTTCCTTATTATCGGAGAAGCCACTGGAAAATACTTCTCAAGTTACTTCCAAAGGTTCCACGGAGTGTCTTTGCTTTACCAAAGAGCAGTGTTTCAAATATTACAAATACCCCAGGGTGGACCCTAGGGGTGGGTCTTGCCTTCCAGTCACATAACCAAGCCTTCATGTTTCTCCAGGAACAGGAGCTGTTGCAGGCTTTTGTACCTGGAACAAACGCTCACATCAATCAGGCTGGTTACGGGGCTGTGCCTGCGGATGGGAGGGCTCCTGGACATGGCAGGGTGATGACCACGTTCCCAAAGAACACGGACAGGATGTGTGTTTTGAAAACGGCTCATTAGCAGAATGCCTCAGGAGGAAGTCTTTATTAACTGACTGGGGCTCTGAGGCTTGTGCCAAACCATGACACAGTGGGTAAGGCCTGGGCTTCAATCCAGCGCCATCCAGCTGTGTGACCTGCACCTTAGAAAACAAGCACAACACCAGGCTAACATGCAAAAGCAAAGAATGAAGACACCAAAAACTGGATGGTGCTCTGGGCTGTAAGGCCAAGCACACACACAAGGACACCTCAGTTGTCGAACTCAATTCCTTCTACATTTGTGTTCGAACACTGAACAGTTGAGGAACTCAACGTATTTTTTCTCATAATAAGGGAAAACTGAATGAATGGTTTTGAGGCCCCACAATTACTTATACATTCATTTTTCCAGGATTTTAACAAATTTTGCAATGATTTCTTTAATCCTATCATGATTCACAGTTTTCTCTTAACTTTACTGCTGGTATCACTAACTTCTTTGGTGCTGTGGCTACAAACTTTTACACAAAGCACCAAAAACCCCCGAAAGTGAAAATCCCACGGTGACAAATGCTTTAATGCACTAACACGAGCACTACATGCTGTCTGGGTGACAGCAGCGCTTAGACTGAAGCGTCACCCCTTTGGGTCCACGGTGAGACAAGACGTGACTCTCTTGGCGCATACAGGTTTTTTCAGGGTGGAGTTTTGGTTTGACTATTGAGCAGTTTTTTCAAATTTTGCTGTTCGAGTAGTAGAAAGTTCAAGTTTGGAGCCGTCTGACAACCTAGGTATCGCATATTCACATGTCCACCAGAAGCATTTCTTACACAACAGCACAGGGCAACGGAAGATGGGAAGGAAAGACCACCAGCAAAGAATTTCTAGAACAGAAAAGTGGACAGGAATATCCTGATGGGTGACACAGCGGAGCAAGCCAGGGCAAGGACACTGGCTGGGACAGGCCAGGTTTTAAAACCTTTAAAGGACATACAAAAACCGTCTTGGATGGCAGACAGAGAGTTTGCAACAAAAAGCATCTTTAACAATTAACTGAATGATAATAAATTAATTGGGCCAAAGGAAAGAAGAAAAGCACTAGTCTTTCTTAGAAGCCACCTTAAACAGCACACCCCACCCGGCGTTTACAAAGACGAACAGCACCTATTTCATTCTGAACCGCTGAAGGGAAGCACGTGGTTTAATACACTGAACGAACACAGCGTCCTCAAGAGTCACTGCCTGGCACATCTTTAACTGTTTACCCACAGCCTAGCAAGAGCACAGCCATACAAAGAAACCCAGGAACCAGCACGCAGGAACCATCGCTACCAATTCCCTACGTGGCCTTCCAGTTCGCTTAACAAGTTACTTTAGAAGTCATCAGTAACGCTTCATTATCCTTCACCAATGACCACTCAAGCAAAGTAGTAATGTACAATTTACTGCTTCCATTGCCTTGTGAAAGCCAACAAAAATCAACAGCAACACAACCTAAAAAGACCAGATGGTAGAAACACGCTTAGATAGCTTGAAATTAAGCAACACTATCAGAACACCGCATAAAAAAGCATTCCGATCAGGCGCCTATGTAAGAAATCACCATGCAGAAAGAGGTTCCCGTTTAAGACAAATGGACGATTAACAATTCCAGCGTAAGTAAGCTGGTTCCCAACATTCAGACATTCTGATTCTTCATTCCTTGAAAACAAATGCTGTGCAAACTCTGCAGGTCGGGCTGAGGCAGGCAGCCCTCGGTGGGCTGTGCACTCCTGCGGCTCCTCCTAGACCTCTGGCTCCTAAGCTGGGACTGGCCCGAAGAGTCCCAAGGGTGACCTCTGACCTGCAGGGAAGGGGGCTGCCGGGAAGCAGCTGCACATCCCCGCCGGCAGTGCGCTCAGCAGGAGCCAGCAGTCTCTCCCCCTCAGGGGAGCCTCCTGCCCAGTTCCTGTGCAGCCACCCAGACCTGCCCACAAAGCTGTGGTGGGGAAGCTCCAGATTGGCAATGCTCCCTCTCCCTTTGTCAAAAAAAAAAAAAAAAAAGACAGGGGCTGGGGATTTAGCTCAGCGGCAAAAGCGCCTGCTTGGCAAGCGCAAGGTCGTGAGTTCAGTTCCCGGTACCGGAGAAAAACCAAAAAAAAAAAAAAAGACATTAAATGATTTTAAAATTAAGATTTTATGGAGTTCAGAGGAGAAGGGAAAAACTTAAAATTCTTCTTTTTTATAAAAGTGCCAGCACCAGAAACCTGTCCTGAAGATGTTCTTAGATACATAGTTTTCGGTTCTTTGTTGCTAGTTAGAACTATGAAGTGGGCACTGCGCTTGGCAAGTTACACACCTGATTCTCATTTACCTTTCCAAGAAAAGCTTCATACAAAGGACGAGAAGAATGCAAATGGCCGGGAGTTTCAAAACAAAGGATTTAGTAATAGAAGTTTCCACAGTGTCTGTCAAAAATTTAAAATGATACAAACCGTGCAAATACTCAACTCAAACCAAGGTTGCACACTCAACTATTGGTATTGTCCCTTGAAGTTGCAAACAGAAAAAAGTCATCCACTTATATTTATGACCACACAAACCATCTAGTTTGCTCAAAGTTCAGCTTAAAGCAACATTTAATATCCTTTATAAGATGGAAACTGTGACAAGTTCAAAAGGAAAACTTGCTTTGTTTGAATGCAGCTGTGCTCACACATCTACGTAGACTCTTCACCCACAGTGGGTGTGGCCAGTCAGGAACGCGCAGGTCACAGCAGTGTCACACTGGCAGCCTGAAGGTACCCCTGCAGGTACTGCAGCGCTTCCGCATTGAGGCTGGTACTCACCATGGAAGGGACCTACAACAGACGGAAACCACTGCTGGCTGCTGCAGGTGCAGACGCATTCCCACCGCCCAGCTCCTCCGCGAGGGGCCACAACTCATAAAGGGCAGCCCGGCTCCGACCCCTTTCCCGGAGAGTTCAAGCAACTCAGCTGTTCTTACGCCATCAGAAACGGCTAGGCCTAGGCAGGCACTGTGGTACATGTACATCAATCCTACCACTCGGGGAGGCCTAGGCAGGACTGCAAGTTTGAGACTTGCCTGGACAGCCTGGTGATTTATCAAGACCCTGTCTCACAACAAATGGATAGCCCTAAAAAGTAGATCCAGTGAGGAATTATTAGTATACTACTACATTCTTAGGCTTTTTAGGTTTAAAAAATATCCTTACTAATGATTCTGGGGGCTGGGGATTTAGCTCAGCGGCAAAGCGCCTGCCTGGCAAGCGCAAGGTCGTGAGTTCGGTTCCCGGTACCGGAGAAAAACCAAAAA